CCCCCTCTTGACATCCATAGGAATAAACATTGATCCAGATTGTGTGACTTGTGGCACTGAAGTAGAAAGTATAAACACATCTTCGAAAATTCTTTTGCCACCAATCTTATTTGGCAAACTGCACAGGGCACAATGAGAGGGATGAATCCATAAATGATTGGTGGGAAAAATGATTGAACAGAAAAATCAAGAATTTGATAGAAAAGTACTAGGAAAAAGGTAGCCAGATGTGGAAGAGTAGAAATGACATGATCTTCAATAGGATACAGCATAACTCAAGCCAGATCATTGAAAAGGCTTGGTCGGATTTCAATGAGATGATGGAGGGCCTAACACCATCAAGATTAACTTCAATACATCAAAAAGAGAGGACGACACTGCTTCTAATGGCTGCATCATTTGGAATCAGAAAGGAGAAATTATCAAGTGTATGTCCAAAATAATTGAGAAAACCATGTTGGCAAAGAAGAGCAGATACAGATGATTTCGGATAGAGGGAAACTCCAAGATGGTGTTCGATTGCTTATAGAAGAAAGCCGACCCCCCCACGGACCTTAGGCATTGTTAGTGTCAACTAAATAAGGGTAGAATAGTCATTTGAGTTTTATTAATATGGTGATGTGTCTTTTAGTTAGTGCTGATGTGTACCAACTTAAATAGGGGCATAAAAGACATTTGCTATTTATTTTAGTAAACTATATTATCCTGGCCGACCTAAGAGAGAATTTGAACTATTCTCTTCTCTTGGGTTCGAACAGGTTTCTTCTTCGATTTCTCCTTCTCTTCTTCTCTCCCTCTCCCTCTTACATCTTCTCTTTTACACCAAGTTCAGATCTGAAACTGACGACTATAAATCATCACATGGTATCAGAGCCAGGTTAACTCAGTCCAGATCTGTTCGTAATCTCTCAGTTTTTTTCTTTTTTTTTTTTGAGTTTCGTAAAAGGGCTGAAAAGAAGTTTCCGTATCTTCATTCTGGAGGTTTTAATGTATTCGGTTGGGTGTGAAGTTGTGGTTTCAGGTGATTGGTAGAGAACCCTCTAATCGATGGAACGAAGAGGGCTGCAACAGTAGGTTTCGTGGTAGGTTCATATGTGTGGTTCAGATCAGTGGCTCGAAGGCTTAGTATCAGTCGTATGGTGGTAGGTTCAGATGTGTGGTACTCTTGTGTGTGATGTGTTTGTGAGGTGCCGAAAGTGACACTAGTGGGGGTTAACATTGCTGAAACCTGTGACAGTGTATGTTTCTGCAATGGTCAGTCGTATGGTGGTGAGTGATTAACTTGAGGAGTGAAGTACAATGTTGTGATTACTGGGTAAGGCAGGTTGAAACACACAAAAAGTTTTTGTTTTTTTACAACCATGGGAGATAATGAACATAAGTCGGTTATGATCCCTCAAGACTAATTGAATGTACAGATGACCTCAATTAAATTGAATGGAGAAAATTAAGTACTTTGAAGTGTTTCTTAGAGCCAAGAAAAACCTGCAGTTGATTCCCAAGAGTATGGTGATTGGGAGCAAGAAGATGCACAGATTATGACTCGGCTGTGGAACAGTATGGAACCTAAGATTAGTGTAAATTTCATGTTCTTAGACACAACCAAGGAAATTTGGGATCATGCAAAGAAGCTTTATTCAGGAAAGTATAACACCACCAGAGTATATCAGCTCTATCAAGAGTATTGTAGTATGCAGTAGGGTAACCAGAGTCTTGAAGTTGAGGAATGAGTTGAGTGTGTATCACCCCCTTACATCTGATAAAACTTGGCAACAACAGAGAGAGCAGCTTGATGTAACCAGATTTCTGGTGGGACTAAAGCCTGAATATGAACCAGTGAGGGCTCAGATACTAGGTGGGTCTGCCCTCCCCTCTCTCGAGGTGTTTGCCCATCTCCTAAGGATTTCAGTTGGCCCTCCAAAGAACCCCACCATATCCAATAGGACTGCCCTTGCCATGGCTAGAGGGGGTGGCTGTGGTGGTAGAGGAGTAGCTCATCAGGGCCAGCCAGGCCGTGGTGGTAGAGGTGGACACATGTATAGTCGTGGTGGTGGGCGTATTGGAGGTCGAGATTCAGGGGGAGCTCGTGGTAGAGGACGTAATCATGGTCCGAGAAAGGGTACGCATTGTGGTATGGATGGGCACACTGTTAATTTTTGCTATGATCTACATGGCCCACCGTCATTCTGGGCAAATCATGCAGTGGCAAGTGGTGATATGGAACAAGGGAGTCAATAGACCGGTCAAACACCTCCACCTATAGATGCCTCCGGACAAGAGATGATGAGTATTTCAAGTACTGAATATGAACGGTTGATCCAGGCTACTTCTCAGTCGAGTACAACTACACTTGCCCACTCAGGTATTGCTTGTCTAGCATCCAAACCCTCCCACTGGATCATTGATTCTGGAGCTTCCGATCACATGACTAGGACTTCGGGTGTGTTCTCTTCACTTTCTTCATCCTCTACAACCCACACTGTCACCCTTGCTAATGGTTCCACTTCTTCCATAAGTGGTATTGATAATGTTAAAACTAGTTCATTATCTTTGTCTTCAATTCTGTATGTACCCAAATTTCCTTTTAATCTTATGTCAGTAAATTGACCAAGTCTCTTAATTGCTCTATCACCTTTTACCCTTCATCTTTTGTGTATTTCAAGATCTCAAGATGGGGATGAAGATTGGTGGAGGGCATGAAGCTGGTGGACTATATTACTTTGATGGTGGTGGTGGTGGTTCTTCAACAGCTCTTCAGTAGTCTCTCACCCCTCTCTAGTGGCATTGCAGATTTGGACACCTGTCTCTTAAAGCACTTAAGCAACTTGTTCAGAAACATCATTGGGTTTCCTTCAGCCCTAGAGTCGATTATCGTATGTCAAGTCTTTTTTCTTTAGTCCATTCGAACATTTGGGGTCCAAATAAAATAGTGTCACACAATAGATACAAGTACTTTGTTATTTTTGTTGATGATTATTCAAGGATGACATGGCTTTATCTTATGAAAGAAAGAAGTGAATTATTTTCTATTTTCCAAAAGTTTCATGCTGAAATCCGCACTCAATTTGGTATTCACATTAAGATCCTACGTTCAAATAATGGCCGAGAATATTTTTATACAACCTTTCAGCAATATTTAGAACAAAAAATGGTATTATTCATCAAACTTCTTGCTTTTACACCCCCTAACAAAATGGGGTAGATGAACGGAAAAATCGCCATCTCTTAGAAACCGCCCGGTCCCTGTTGCACCATGTGAATGTATCCAAACGTTTCTGGAGTGATGCTATGCTTACATCTTGCTTTCTTATTAACAGAATGCCCATGTCCATCCTTGATGGTCA